CTGGCCACGCCGCCCTGCCCCCGCGCCGCCCTGCAGACTGAGCCACCCGGCCACGGAACAGCGGTGCCCCCGAGCCCCGCCTCCGTGCCAAGCCCCGCCCAGCGGGGGCAGTCGGCCAGGGCCTGCAGCCCGGGCCTGGGACTTACATGATGTACTCTTCCTTGTTCTCCTCCGTCACCCGGATGCTCTCCCCTCCCTCCTTCAGCTCGTGCGTCGTCACCTTGCCCAGGATCTCCATGTCCTGGATGAAGTACAGCTCCAGGCCACACTCCTCCAGGCTGTTCTCCCTGGGGGGGGGGGGCAGGCGCCCCAGCCTGGCTGGGCAGCCCCCCCACAGCTACCTGGGCACTGCCAGGACGAGAGCCCTCTCGCTGGAGCGCTGGGTCCTTCTGGGCCCGCTGCAGGAAGGAGGCAGGCGGGTGCCTTGTGGAGGCCTGAGCAGAAATGACGGGGGCTGGAGCGCGTGGCAGGCGGGGAGAGGCGGAGGGATCGGGGCTTGTTCGGTCTTCAGCAGAGCAGAGCGAGGGGGGATTTGGGAGCAGCCTGCACCTCCCTGCAGGGGGGTCCAGAGAGGCTGTTCTCAGTGGGGGCGGGTGGCAGAACAAGGAGCAATGGGCTCAGGTTGCAGTGGGGGAGGTCTAGGCTGGGGATTAGGAAAACGATTCCCCTAGCGGGTGGGGCAGCCCTGGGACAGGTTCCCTGGCGGGGGGGAGGCTCCATCCCTAGAGATGTCCAAGTCCCGGGCTGGGCTAATTGAGTGGGGCTGGTCCCGCTCGGGGCAGGGGCTGGACTCGCTGCCCCCTGGGGTCCTGTGAGGCTTGGCCTGGCAGGCTCTTCTGGAGCTGCGTGGAGATCTCGGCCTCGAGCCCGGCGTGTGGCCAGTAGGGGCAGAGCCCCCCAGGCCTGGGGAGGTGGGGAGGTAGCCCCCCCCCCCCCCCGCGGGGCTGGCAGGGGAGGCACTGACTTGATCCAGACGATGGAGTTGTAGAACTCGGGGTCGATGGACTCCAGGTCCTTCAGCGTCGGCCTCTTGTTCAGCATGCGCTTGTAGAAGGGGAGCGTGAAGCCAGTGTCGATGAACTTGCCGTGGTACAGCGCCTGCGGGGGAGGCGCCAGCTCAGGGCTCCGCTCACAGCACGGCCCAGGGCGGCAGCGGGACGCCCTCCCCTTCCCCGGGGCCACGCAGAAGCAGAGCCGGCAGGGGATGGGCCCTGGGCCACGCCTAGGGAAGGGGATGGAGAACAGCTTCCCCTTGCGGCCCCACACCATGGCCCGGCCCAGCCCTGCCCCCCAAGGGGGTCCCCCCTTCTTCCTCCCCCACGCAGGCCCCTTTGGCCCCATAGACACGTCCCTCGCACTGCCAGCCAGGCCAGAGCCCGGAGCACGAGCCTGCACACCCCCAGAACGTGCGCACACGGACACGAGCCTGCACACCCCCAGAACGTGCGCACACGGACACGAGCCTGCACACCCCCAGAACGTGCGCACACGGACACGAGCCTGCACACCCCCAGAACGTGCGCACACGGACACGAGCCTGCACACCCCCAGAACGTGCGCACACGGACACGAGCCTGCACACCCCCAGAACGTGCGCACACGGACACGAGCCTGCACACCCCCAGAACGTGCGCACACGGACACGAGCCTGCACACCCCCAGAACGTGCGCACACGGACACGAGCCTGCACACCCCCAGAACGTGCGCACACGGACACGAGCCTGCACACCCCCAGAACGTGCGCACACGGACACGAGCCTGCACACCCCCAGAACGTGCGCACACGGACACGAGCCTGCACACCCCCAGAACGTGCGCACACGGACACGAGCCTGCACACCCCCAGAACGTGCGCACACGGACACGAGCCTGCACACCCCCAGAACGTGCGCACACGGACACGAGCCTGCACACCCCCAGAACGTGCGCACACGGACACGAGCCTGCACACCCCCAGAACGTGCGCACACGGACACGAGCCTGCACACCCCCAGAACGTGCGCACACGGACACGAGCCTGCACACCCCCAGAACGTGCGCACACGGACACGAGCCTGCACACCCCCAGAACGTGCGCACACGGACACGAGCCTGCACACCCCCAGAACGTGCGCACACGGACACGAGCCTGCACACCCCCAGAACGTGCGCACACGGACACGAGCCTGCACACCCCCAGAACGTGCGCACACGGACACGAGCCTGCACACCCCCAGAACGTGCGCACACGGACACGAGCCTGCACACCCCCAGAACGTGCGCACACGGACACGAGCCTGCACACCCCCAGAACGTGCGCACACGGACACGAGCCTGCACACCCCCAGAACGTGCGCACACGGACACGAGCCTGCACACCCCCAGAACGTGCGCACACGGACACGAGCCTGCACACCCCCAGAACGTGCGCACACGGACACGAGCCTGCACACCCCCAGAACGTGCGCACACGGACACGAGCCTGCACACCCCCAGAACGTGCGCACACGGACACGAGCCTGCACACCCCCAGAACGTGCGCACACGGACACGAGCCTGCACACCCCCAGAACGTGCGCACACGGACACGAGCCTGCACACCCCCAGAACGTGCGCACACGGACACGAGCCTGCACACCCCCAGAACGTGCGCACACGGACACGAGCCTGCACACCCCCAGAACGTGCGCACACGGACACGAGCCTGCACACCCCCAGAACGTGCGCACACGGACACGAGCCTGCACACCCCCAGAACGTGCGCACACGGACACGAGCCTGCACACCCCCAGAACGTGCGCACACGGACACGAGCCTGCACACCCCCAGAACGTGCGCACACGGACACGAGCCTGCACACCCCCAGAACGTGCGCACACGGACACGAGCCTGCACACCCCCAGAACGTGCGCACACGGACACGAGCCTGCACACCCCCAGAACGTGCGCACACGGACACGAGCCTGCACACCCCCAGAACGTGCGCACACGGACACGAGCCTGCACACCCCCAGAACGTGCGCACACGGACACGAGCCTGCACACCCCCAGAACGTGCGCACACGGACACGAGCCTGCACACCCCCAGAACGTGCGCACACGGACACGAGCCTGCACACCCCCAGAACGTGCGCACACGGACACGAGCCTGCACACCCCCAGAACGTGCGCACACGGACACGAGCCTGCACACCCCCAGAACGTGCGCACACGGACACGAGCCTGCACACCCCCAGAACGTGCGCACACGGACACGAGCCTGCACACCCCCAGAACGTGCGCACACGGACACGAGCCTGCACACCCCCAGAACGTGCGCACACGGACACGAGCCTGCACACCCCCAGAACGTGCGCACACGGACACGAGCCTGCACACCCCCAGAACGTGCGCACACGGACACGAGCCTGCACACCCCCAGAACGTGCGCACACGGACACGAGCCTGCACACCCCCAGAACATACACACACGGACACGAGCCTGCACAGCCCCCAGAACATACACACACGGACACGAGCCTGCACACCCCCAGAACATACACACACGGACACGAGCCTGCACACCCCCAGAACATACACACACGGACACGAGCCTGCACACCCCCAGAACATACACACACGGACACGAGCCTGCACACCCCCAGAACATACACACACGGACACGAGCCTGCACACCCCCAGAACATACACACACGGACACGAGCCTGCACACCCCCAGAACATACACACACGGACACGAGCCTGCACACCCCCAGAACATACACACACGGACACGAGCCTGCACACCCCCAGAACATACACACACGGACACGAGCCTGCACACCCCCAGAACATACACACACGGACACGAGCCTGCACACCCCCAGAACATACACACACGGACACGAGCCTGCACACCCCCAGAACATACACACACGGACACGAGCCTGCACACCCCCAGAACATACACACACGGACACGAGCCTGCACACCCCCAGAACATACACACACGGACACGAGCCTGCACACCCCCAGAACATACACACACGGACACGAGCCTGCACACCCCCAGAACATACACACACGGACACGAGCCTGCACACCCCCAGAACATACACACACGGACACGAGCCTGCACACCCCCAGAACATACACACACGGACACGAGCCTGCACACCCCCAGAACATACACACACGGACACGAGCCTGCACACCCCCAGAACATACACACACGGACACGAGCCTGCACACCCCCAGAACATACACACACGGACACGAGCCTGCACACCCCCAGAACATACACACACGGACACGAGCCTGCACACCCCCAGAACATACACACACGGACACGAGCCTGCACACCCCCAGAACATACACACACGGACACGAGCCTGCACACCCCCAGAACATACACACACGGACACGAGCCTGCACACCCCCAGAACATACACACACGGACACGAGCCTGCACACCCCCAGAACATACACACACGGACACGAGCCTGCACACCCCCAGAACATACACACACGGACACGAGCCTGCACACCCCCAGAACATACACACACGGACACGAGCCTGCACACCCCCAGAACATACACACACGGACACGAGCCTGCACACCCCCAGAACATACACACACGGACACGAGCCTGCACACCCCCAGAACATACACACACGGACACGAGCCTGCACACCCCCAGAACATACACACACGGACACGAGCCTGCACACCCCCAGAACATACACACACGGACACGAGCCTGCACACCCCCAGAACATACACACACGTGCATGAGCCTGCCCAGTCCCAGAACACACAAATACATTCATAACCCTGCACACACACGTACATATCTAGCCACCCCAGCACACGTACGCACATGCATACACACCTGCACACACCCCAGAATGCATACACAAGCCTGCACACATACACACCTGCCAGCCCCAGCACATGTACCCACACGCGTACACGCCTGCACATACTACATACCCACACACGCACACCTGAACACGCCCACCCACGTGCATCTGCCCGGGCCCAGCGCCTGGGCCCTTGTTTGCCGCCTGCCCCAGGGCTGGGAGCGGCGCCGG